TATTGGAACGTTCCGATGGACCCAGACATTGTAGAGAAGACGGCGTTCACGAGCATGTTTGGACTATATGAATGGCTGGTCATGCCGTTTGGTTTGTGTAATACAGTTCCAGCGTTCGAGCGGTTGATGGAGAATGTCCTCATTGATCTCAAGTGGCGGGTTTGGCTAGTCTACCTGGACGACTGTGTCGCATTTAGCGACGATTTCCCTACTCATTTAGTGCGAGTGCGCCAAGTCTTGGGACGCTTTAAGAAGGCCGGGTTCAAGCTGAAGATGAAGGAGTGTCACTGGGGACGCGATCAAGTGGCGTTATTGTGACTCCTACAGGGATCATGCCTAATCCTGAGAAAGCAAAGGCAGTGATGGATATTGAGAGACCGCATGACGTACACACTGTAAGGGCGTTCCTGGGATTGACTAGCTACTTTCGGCGTTATATACCGGGCTTCGCCGCAATTGCAGCGCCTTTGGAACGCCTGAAGCAAAAAGGAGTAGAGTTTCTGTGGAATAACGACTGTTAGGCTGCGTTCCGACAGCTCCAACGAGCGCTGGTGAAGCCTCCTATCCTCGTGTACCCTAATTTCAGGGAACGGTTCAAGCTCTACGTGGATGCGTCACACTTGGCCGTAGGGGCGTGTCTGATGCAAGAGGTCGACAAGCGAGATCGAGCCATTGCGTATGCTAGCAAGATGCTGGTGGGCTCCCAGCGGGACTGGATCTACAAGACGAGCGGAACTACAGAGATTGAATGTTGGGAATCGTGTGGGCTACACGCAAGTTTAGGTGCTACCTAGACCACGCCGAGTTCGACCTATTTACTGATCATCAGGCGCTCACGTGGATCTTTGGTGAGAATACGAGGACATCGAACGCCAAGTTGGCACGGTGGGCTATGGAGTTGTCACAGTTAAGATTCAAGGTGAACCGCCGGCCGGGGACGTCTATGGGTCATGTGGACGGCTTGTCGAGGCTGTATCATCGACCGAACATAGGGGGAGTAGGCGCTATCCGAATGGCGGACCTCCTCAATGAAGAACCGGCGGAAGGAGCTGATCTCGGAACGCCGAGCCCTGGAGTGACACGAACGCTGGAAGGGACGCCGGATCCTGGTGGAACGACCATTAGGAACGCCGGAGAGGATGTCGTCCAGGTCGGGGAGCACCTCGAGACCGCTGATCCTGGCGATGGAACGCCGTGGAGTGGATATCTGGAGCCGGATGAGCCTCTTACGCAAGCGGAACAGGAAGAGCAACTCCAGGAAGGGACTCCTATAATACACCCGTCTCCTGTGGACGTGTTCGGACTGGATTGTGACAAGTT